CGCGGAACCCGGGGCGCGGGGGTCCGCGCCCGCTGCCCTCGCCACCGCGGACTCCCCTCAGTTTCCGCTATCTCTCTGAGAAGTGATTTGGGTCGAGTCGGCAAACTTTTTTTTTTTTATATTTAGAGACCTGCTCTCACTCTGTTGGCCAGACTGGGGTGCCGGGGCGCGATCGTAGCTCACTGCAGCTTCCAACCCCTGGGCCCAAGCCATCCTCCCGCCTCTGTTTCCTAAAGCGCTGGGCCCCCGTGCTCGGCTGGCAAACTCTTTCCGAGCTGTTTTTGCTCCGAAGAAATAATTGAACACTAGGCTGGGGAGGGCCCCGTGATCTTGCCTCTCGGTTTTGTGCGCTCTTACGATTAAACCGTTCTTCGGCCTTTTCAGGAATGTAGGAGTTTTGTAGTTTGACAAGTACTCGTAGAATGGTGGAATGTTCAACGTTTTGTAAAGTCTCCACATGACAGCGAGTCTTGAGACGTGAGAGATGTTTCTTGCAATCCCTTCACACTAAACCTTAACTTGTTTGCCAGTTTTTAAGAGGGAAATTAATTGATTATTTGGGTGACTTAGTATGCCAGAGAAAGTGACTAAATTGCAGCATCATTTTGCTCTCGAACCCTGTGAGCCTGTGTCCAATCTCGTTTCTTCTTGTAAAATTTGGAGGGAGAGGAATGCCAAGTGCAGGAACTGTTGGGCTTTGCAGCATGAGTGCTGGGTAGTGCTTCGTGTATGTGCAAGTAAACGTACCCGAGACGGGTATGTTACGGACCTAACGTGCTTGATGCAGAGAAGTAACAGTCTTTATAAGGCAGAAGGTCTTAGAAATGCGGGAAGTAAACAGATCGCTGGTGAGTGTCGGAGTCTAGTATTGTCAGCCTTCACGGTGTGAGCTTTGTGTTGGGACTTTGCTTGGACTGTGTCCACGCAGGCTACTTTCATACCGTGGAGGGTCCTCAGCCTGGCTTGGCTATAAGGCTGTCTGTTGAGGCCCGGCTGATATGGCAGACCTGCTCTCCAGATGTCCTCGCAGTTCAGCTGCTTGGGCCATCTACCACGTGCCTAACGCAAACTGACATAACAGGTAATTCTTCAGACGACTTTGGGAACTAAACATTTAGCATGTGCTTTTCCATTTTTGCTTGATTGTAAAGATATGCACACTAAAATGAGAGCCTTGATGGAAAAGTAAATTCCATGGGACCTTGTTTATAAATTTATAGAGAATGATTTAAGTCAGTGAGTTGAGGTCCTTGCAGGTCCATGCATTTGGTGCATAATTATGTAATTCACACTAGGCATTTACATTTTGTTTGTTTGTTTGTTTTTTTGAGTTGGAGTCTCACTCTGTCGCCCAGACTGGAGTGCAGTGGCCGCTCCTGGCCACTGCAGCCTGGACCTGCTGGACTCCAGTGATTCTTCCACCTCAGCCTTCCAGGTAGCTGGAACTACAGGCATGCACTACCACGCCCGGCTGATTTTTTGATTTATTGTAGAGATGAGGTCTCGCTGCCCAGGCGGGTCTCGAACCAGCGCGCTCAGGCAATCCATTCACCTCAGCCTCCCAAAGGCGCAGGATTACAGGCTGAGCCACCGAGCCCGGCAGCATTTACATTTTGCTGTTTAAGACACTGGTAACTTACCCTGTAATGTGTAATCTTAATTTTACAGTATCTTGCTGATAACATCTTAATTTGGGCTTTATCTTTCAAAAAGTTACAATTAGGTGATTTTAGTTTAATGTCAAGTTATTCATAACTTAGAAGGACTGTTTTTCCAATCCTTGCAGAGGATTAAAAGATTAGTTCTTTTGTGCCCTTGCTTTTGTATTATGTAGGTTGTTCCATAGTCAGTGAAAATGTTTATTTTTTTAATATCAGAATTCATTTTTAAAGGTTGTTTCTTTCTGTCAATTTTAATGATTTCTTTGTGACTTTTGACTTTTGAAGGATGAGATTTAGCATTGATTTATCAGCATTACCATTCTAATCTAATAGAAATATTAAAAGAAGGTAACCTGATTTAGACAACTGCTATCTACCTCATGATGATTATTTACATTTGCAGATTTCTTCAACCATTTGATCCTTCCAGAAATTTTGTGAACTAGACAGTGTGTTTTACAGACTAGAAACAGAATCAAATGACTTTCCTGAGGTCTTTTTTTTTTTTTTTTTTTGAGTCGGAGTCTCACTCTGTTGCACCGACTGGAGTGCAGTGAGTGGCACGCTCACGGCCACTGCAGCCTCGATCTGCTGGGCTCAGGTGATCCTTCTGCCTCAGCCTTCCAAGTAGCTGGAACCATAGGTGCGTGCCACCACACCTGGCTAATGTTTAAAAATTTATTTATTATAGAGATGAGGTCTTGCCAAGTTGCCCAGGCTGGTCCTTAACCCCTGGACTCAGGCAATCCCCCCGCCTCAGCCTCTCAAAGTGCTGGGATTACAGGTGTGAGCTACCATGGCCAGCCTCCTAAGGTCTTAATGCTGGCAAGAGACAGAATTGGGATCTTGACCAGTGTGACTTTCCCCCGTCTTGTTGTTAAGAAATGCCATGATGCATCTCAAGAACCTTGACAGTTATACGTAATTCTCTGCATATAAGACCATGTTTTGAACCACTATTCATCCAGGTGTTGTCTCCCTCAGATTCCCAAGTCCAGTCCAGGGGCAAATTCTGTAGCTCCACTTTCAAAGTAGGTCCTGAAGCCGGGCTCGGTGGCTCAGCCTGTAATCCCACGTCTTGGGAGGCTGAGGTGAGTGGATTGCCTTAACCCCCGGGTTCGAGACCCGCCTGGGCAACTTGGTGAGACCTAATCTCTACAATAAATCAAAAAAAATTAGCCGGGCATGGTAGTGCGCGCCTATAGTTCCAGCTACTCGGAAGGCTGAGGCGGAAGGATCACCAGAGCCCAGCAGGTCGAGGCTGCGGTGGCCGGGAGTGGCCACTGCACTCCAGTCTGGACGACGGAGTGAGACTCCAACTCAAAAAAAAACAAAAAACACAAAGTAGGTCCTGGATCAGTCACCTTCCCGTCTCTCTCAAGCCTTTCTCCAGCTCCATGTTGTTGCCTGGCCTGCTCAGAGGTGTAGACTGTGTCCCCCGAACTGAGACGCTGCTGGGCTTCTGTGTCCTGCTTACATGTGAGACCCCGCCTTGCCTGGGTCTGAGTTGTCTCAGTGCTTCTCACCTTGTCTCTCCAGTGCAGCCACACGGGGGCTTCGCTGTCCCCTGGACAGTAAGGTGCCAGGGTCTTCAGCCACAGGCCTGTTGCCTCTGTGTGATGTTGCTTGCACGGTGTTCAGTTCTTGGCTCACATGCTATTCATGTTCCTGCCTGGTTTTATTTGTCCCCGTGTCTCCTTTCTGTATAGCACTTACCACTGCTCAGAGTCATCTTATTTACTGTTTATCTCACATCTGTGAAGAGAATTCCATGAAGTCAGGGACTCCTGGGTGACTTGGGCATTGCTCACTAACACCTAGAACAATCCTTGACACGTAGTAGGCACTGAAATATGGACTGAATGAATGAGCCTTCATGTCTTTGGGGGAAAGTTCTGGAGAGTTGTTATTCTGTGACATAACTTCTCAGCTTCTGCTTAGCACATTCTATCTAAACCAATGTCTCAGCTGAAAGCCTCCTTTTACCCATAAATTCATATAAAAACACTAGCTTCTTGGGAGACTGAGGCTGCAGTGAGCTGTGATTGCACCACTGCATTCCGTCCTGGGCAATGGAGCAAGACCCTGTCTAAAGACAAAAAATAGGCTGGGCACAGTGGCCAGTTATCCCAGAACTTTGGGAGGCCAGGATACGAGAATCACTTGAGCCCAGGAGTTTGAGACCAGCTTGGGGAACATAGTGAAACCTTGTTCCTACAAAAATACAAATAAGAAAAACTAGCCAGGCATGGTAGTATACACTTGTAGTCCCAGCTACTTAGGAGGTTGAGGAAGGAGGGTAGCTTGAGCCTAGGAGATTGAGACCACAGTGAGCCATGATTGTGCCTCTGCACTCCAGCCTGGGCAATAGAGTGAGATCCTGACTAAAAATATCCACCCACCCCCCCCATCCATCTTTGAGGTTGTTGGCTGAGACACATACATAGAGTACATTGGAAAGGCCTGAAGGGCAGGTGTAGAAAATTGAGGCTCCGCCCTCAGCAGTCCTGCTCTCCTCAGTAGACAATCACTATGACTGTGTCTCCTTCCAGAAAGACCAGAGTGACGGGGTGCATGTGTAAGTTGGGTCTAGTCTTCTGCAAATTCCTTAACTTCTCCATCCTCCCCCAACCACCAGTATGTCTTGGAGTTGATTCTTCTTTTTGTGAGATACTGGTCTCACTGTGTCACCCAAGTTGGTGTGCAGGGGCACTATCATAGCTTCACTGCAGCCTCCAACTCCTGGGCTCATGGGATTCTCCTGTCTCAATCTTTAGTACCTGGGACCACAGGCACATGCACCACCAAGCTTGGCTATGACTCACTTTTTAAAGGACTGGTTTGTGGAACCTTGTGATTTGACTTTATTTTAACGAATTGTCTATTGATAACTTTTAGTTTTTTCCTCAAATTGTGCTATATGAAGAATACCATAATAAATAGTGTATATATGACATTTTGCACAACTGTGAGTGATACTGAGTCTTGGTAGTTCTGTTTTTAGCTAAAATTTTTGCGGTTTTTTTTTTTTTTGAGCCTCTGTTGCCCGGACTGAAGTGCAGTGGCATGTTCATATTCACAGCTACCCCAGCATCGACCTGCTGGGCTCAGATGATCCTTCTGCCTCAGCCTTCCAAGTAGCTGGAAATACAGGTGTGCGCGCGCACACACCCGGCTGATTTTTTATTTATTTGTAG